ACAATGTATTAATTTTAGTTAGTTGGTTATGTATTTTTTAAATAAAAAAAAAATTTTGAATTTACTTATTTGTAGCCGGAGTTAGAGGCGGTCGGATACTTATGACCGCTACTGTATATAAAAAAAATTAAAAATAGTAATATGTTCAGTTTAATTTAAAGTAATAAATGATTATACTATTCTAAAATTTATATTATTATTTATTTAGTAAATAAAGATAAGTTAGATTATTTCATTTGATTTTTATAAAGCAAATAAAAAGATCAATTAATAAAACTTACTTGTTTTTATATAATTTGTAATATATTTCAAGAATTTGATTTCTTTATAGAAATCACTATATAATAATTATCTAAATTAGTAGAATTAATCAGATTATTATCTTTACAATTAAGATTACTAAGTAAAATTTAGAAATTTTACAAGTTGTTTAAATAGTAAAAAATAAAATTAACAAAATTATATTAAAATCTTATTAAAAAAATCTGCAAAACTTTGAAAAAGGTAAAACTATATCAAAACTTATAAAATGTGAAATTATATTAAAACTTTAATAAAAACTTAGTAAAACTATTGTTTAAACATTTTACTAAATCTAAAATAAGTTTAGATAAGTAACCTTAATAACCATATTTTTTATCTATTGTAATTTTATTCTAACTAGATAATCTCTGATATTTTTTTAAAGCGAGTATGTCTGATTTCTAATATATTTTCTGTATACTTCTGTGTAAATTGATGAATTATTAATTAAATTGTATTTTGACAGACATAATGATTTTATTAATAATTTATAATAAATATCAAATTAACATAATTAATTTTGACATTATTAAAATTAAATATAGTTTTCTAATAAATAGGTATATTGTGATCTCAATAATAAAGTTCTTTTATTAGTACGATTTTCTTTTTTAAACAATTATTTTTCTATCACTTATTATGTTTAGTTAGACTATTAAAAATTTATTTTATTTAGATATAAAAAGAGCTTAAAATGTCTTATATAATTCAGCAAACTTTTTTTTAAATTACTTTCAGGCAATTACAATTGCAACCTACTTCATATATTGCTTTTCATATTCAGTAGAATCATTATTATTATATTTACTACTTTTCATATATAGGTAATCCTATATATAATTTTATATTTTATAGTCTTTCTGTGCTTCATATGTTTTATTTGTGCCTATTTGTTTAATACTTAGTTGATTTTTTTATAATTTCTATTGTCTTAGTATATATGTTAGAAAGTCAATAAAGCATGTGATGCATTTATTTCATTATTTATTGTGTAAAACAAACAAAAATAAGCTTGCATATTCTTATTTGAATTTAGACAAAGTATAAGAACATCATCTAATCATATCACTTAAACAGTATTTCATCTCGATTTTTTCTTTAAGTTGTTTTTTTCTATCAGTATTGAAAGTTGACTTTCCAAAATCAATAAGGAATATTCTCTTCCCATCATCACAAAGAATGATATTTTCTTTTCTGATATCGTTATGATGCACACCGCGTTTATGGATTTCATCCAACGCTTTATAAGCCTTTTGCTCTTGCATTCTGGTAATAGTCTTGAACTTCTCCAACGATTTACAAAAGTTGTTCCTATAACGAAGTACGGTCTATCCAATAGATAACCATAGCATACCAATTTTGGTATACATATTCCCTGGATGTCCTTGAGAATGCAATAAACCTCCAGCTCCTGCATCAATTCAGGTAGACGACCTTTTTTTCTTCGATAAATCAGTAACTTTTAAGGCTATATCATACCCCTGAAAATCGTTTTCCCACATTTCCGTAACCTAGGTAAGTCCTATTGCTAAAATCGCTTTGTTGAAAATTTCGAAATTGCCTTGACGACGATTGTTGTGTCATTGAAGAATATGATTGCGACTTTCCTGGAGGTTGTTGGTTTTGACCTCTATTAACTGAACGAGTTAGATATCTGGACTGAAGCGTAGTGTTTGGTATACGTATAAGGTTAGGCTTCAGAAGATAATGATTTTGTTTCGCCCATAGGGCTAGATAAGCATATGCTTTTAACACCGTCGGATTATTATTGTCAAAAGATAGAGTCTCTGAAATCAATATTTGATCGCGATTATCTCCTTCTCTCTGAAGAAACCAATTTTGATCATACGTTGTAATTATTCCATATAAAAGGTTATTATCGACCATATAGCTAAATGTTTGTGAAATGACACATTTCCCTTTGGAATCATTTTGAAAAAATTCTATAGATGACTCCCTACCAATAGGCAAAAATTTCTTGACTTCGATTACAAGAATCCTTTTTTTGCAACAAAGTCTGATAAACCCGAACCGTCCATGTCTGAACCAGAAGGTGATCTGAACACAATACCGTCGTTTTCCAAGAAACGTTCAGATTAAATAAAACATTCGTTGTAAAGCGTTCTGAACATCAGTTTCACGAACCACATGATTCGTGTCTACGAAAGTAGGCTTATTGTATTTTGCTTTTAGAGAGAAAGAGAGAAAGAGATTTTCAAAGTTAAAATTATTAACTTCTGTGAAATAATCGATCCATGAAGATATTTTTTTGGGTTCTTCAAAACCTCCGTGAGTTGTAATCGAACTTAATCGTTCAATATAGTGTATAGCTGGTAGAATTTGCGACAGAAAATGATCTTGACTTATTAACGCTGTAATGAAAGAGGATATTAGTCGATAAATCAAGAAATGAAATAAAAAACATTAGCTAACGACACAAATACAAGTATTCCTTTATCAATAATTCTTTTCTGTTGAGTTATTATAAAAAGACGTAGTTTGCCAAAATAACTACGTCGAGCTGTCGGAACCTCCGCTTTTCAATAAACTCAAATACATGTCAGGAGCATTTACGATGACCTGTAGAGGAGTATCAAAGTTATTCACAAATTCTCGTCGACAGTTAAATCCGCACGCAAATCTTCTTCCTCGCCGTGTCTTCTCAAGGTTATCCGGTTAACGGCCACACCATCTAAATCAGGTGACAACTCCTTCTTGATCGCTTTTTTCAAAACATATACGTCATCTCCATCAAAATCAATTCTTGCAGGCTGGACGTCACCAAACTTGACCCAGATTCTTCGAACCTCCACCATAGCTGTTTTGTTCGAAGACAATATTAATAAACCTTCCACAAAACAGTATTCGTAATAAGTCTACTTTACCACTAGACAGCTCCGTTCGTAATGGAGAAGCAGTGTCGCGTCTGACTGTTGACGCGTCAGTAGGCGGACCTGGTGTAGCAGTGTCATGCGAAGTCGCTCGACCAGCAACCTTTCTCTTCCCTGTGGTTATTTATTTTTATTATTAATTCTAGCTAGCGGTTCATTTGCAAGTGAAGCTTGAGCATATCTCTATATTTTACCTATTACTTTAGCTTTTTTCTTTAGCGGCATCGTTTCACTCGATGTTTCAAAAATTTAGACCAGATACATATACTGGTGGCATTAATGACGTGTTTACATATCATATTAGGAACTTTTTATAATTGACTATTGTTGCATTATTTTGTGCGGAGTGTGACTAATAATATCAATGCACAGAAATCGCGTTGCATTCACATATATATTAAACAAACGGAGATTTTATTATAAAAACGGCATTGGTTCACTTAGAAATCAAACACAACGCAATAAATATCATTGAAACAATACATCGTTTAAAACAAATCTGTCAAATCCCACCAATAACACTATTCACAAAGCGAATTCCTTTTTGGAGTATAAATTGGCTTCATTCTCGGCCTATTGCTAAATGGCATTATCAGCTTAATAATATTAATTAACCTAAAAGATAATTAACCAAAGGATGTTTTTACAAATCTATCAGCCAGAAATCTGATACGATTGTACAACAAAAAAGCCGAATTAGATTCAAAATTTTATTTATCGAAATGACGTCCGAAATTTTTAAGTTACTCGACAAAAAGCTATTGCGCAGTTACAATAAGAAATTTCTACCTTCAAAGAACAAACTCGCGGGAAAGAAAATTCAATGTTGGATTGATGAAGAGAACATAAACAATAAAGATGACAAAAATGAAATAAAAAAATAGATAGTAGTAATAATACTATTAATAACAGTAACAATAAAGAAGATAATGAAATTTAGATTTGCCCAAAGAAATAGGTTATACTCATTAATGGCTTTAGGTCCAAGTATTTCCTTCCATGCAATCACTCAGATACTTTTATTATTACTTTATAATAAAAATAATAAAATTATGCATACCAAATCATCAAATTAAATTATTGTTTCTTATTGAACTCTTTGGTTAAATTGTGTCAAAATAATGAAATGCAAATCAAAGCTTAATAGATATACTCAAGCAGTCTTTTATCAAGCAAGTTGAGCAACTATAAGAAATGATCTTATATTGATAGTTTGCTTAATCAGAAAGGCCTTAATGAAAGTTTTATTTTAATATTTCTTCAA